CTTAACGACTGAGCCACCCAGGCGCCCCACTGTGCCTTTTAACAGCTTTATTGCATGTAAGCTACACACCGTACAGTCCACCTGTGTAAAGTGTGCAATTCGGTGGTTTTGAGAAGTAGGTACAACCATCACTGTAGTCTAGTTCCAGAACATTCCATCTCCCCAAAAGGAAGCCATGTCTCCATCTGCCGTCACTCTCTGTCCACCCCCCAGCTCCCGGCCCCCACAAGCCCCCTTCCTGTCCGTGGATGAGCCTGCTCTGGACGTGTCACCCACGTGGACTCACACCCCGTGTGGCCGTCTGTGTCTGGGTCCCTCCCTGAGCGTCATGGGCTCGGGGTCCGTCCCCAGGGCCGCCCGTGTGGGTGGAAGAGCATTTGAGAATCACGCTTCTGTGAATTCTCAGTGTTAAAGAGAAACTCCCCGAGCAGGATGGAGGGGAACTTAGGGAGTTAGGAATGCAACCCTCCACCTGGCTTGGGCCCCCACCACAACTGGGGTCTCTGGAACCTGGGCTGACCCCCTTTCCTCTGTGGGCCGCTGGGTCCTGCGGGGCCTGATGTCCGGGAGAAGACAGTTTCCACGCGGGCACAAGGGAAACCCCAACCATGCCATGGGGATGGGGGGCCTGCCCCTCCCCAAAGGAGACCGCAGACTTAGCACCTCCTATTCAACCTTTATTTGCAAACTCTGAGGTCGGACGTGGTGCCTGAGACTCTGGATGGTGTCCTTTGCTCCCCTTGCCCCTCCCCCCCACTTCTGGGGCTGGGAAGGGATGGTCGTCACAGCCTGACCTCTGCCCCATCCCACCCCACCCCCACCCCAAACTGTGTAACTAGACTTTTCTCTCTCTCTCTTTCCCCTGGACCTGCCAATTTCCGGTCCAGGGTTCCATGTAGGCCGCCCCTGGCCCGAGGGCCTCAGTGATCAGCCAGGGCCTTCTCAGGGCAGGTTCTCACAGCCCCAGCCCGGGTTCCAGCTGAAGCAAAGGAGCAGGACAGCGGTGCCTGGCCCCTCGTCAGATGTCTCTAGGTTCCCGCTAGCCGCCAGACCTGGGGTGGTGATGGGGGAGGCCCCCGCACGGCGGCAGGCAGCCTACGGAGAGGACGCTGCAGAGGAAGGGGTTCCCAGAGGCCATGGCCAGCAAGGCCAGGACCACAGCCTGGGCTCGGCCATGGTGGCAGCTGGGGTGGGCCACTGCGGTGGGTCCAGGGGTGCTGTTGGGAGGGGCAGGTCCGGAGCAGGAGCCCCGATGCTCGTCCAGCGTGTAGGCGGGGGGGCAGGTGGTGCAGTTGAGTGGGGACCCGCCACGGCAGGTGTAGCAGGAGGGGTGGCAGCTCGAGCAGACGCGCAGGGCGGGTGTGGCCGAGCGCCCCGGCCCCGCGGTCACTGCCTGCCGGGTGTGGCTGAAGTACCGCGGGGGGCAGTAGGAAAGGCAGAGGTGGCCCAGGATGTAGGCAGGGCCGTGGCATTCTGCGCCGGGGACACACACACGGGGGGTGAGGCCAAGGCCCGTCGCCCTGCCTGCCCTCCCGCCCCGGGCTGCACACGCACACTGCCCGCGGCTGCCGCCTCCCAGCAGGCGGGCCGGGCCACGTCAGGCACTCACCCTGGCACAGCCCCTCTGTGTCCCGCTGCACACACGCGCTGCTGGTCACCTGGGGGACCGGGGGCCGCGCCAACATGTCCTCGGCCGTCCCATACAGCAGCAGCGTGTAGCGGTACAGCGTCCCTGGGCAGGGGTTGCGGTGGGCATGGGGAAGAGGGGGAGAGGCTGTTGGCAGCCTGGTCCTGCCCTTCTGGGCCCCTCTCCCCAGCCACCCGACCCCGAGCTGCAGTCCCAGACCCGGACGGCGCCCAGGCTGAGCACCCACTGTGCCCCGGGCACCGAACGCCGATGGGAACATACGATGTGCCAGACACACCAGCTCGGCCTCTTGGGGAGACCGCTGGGAGCCCCTTGGCAGTGGGGTACCCGGGCGGCTCCAGAGCCCAAGGCCCCAGCCTGCATGCAGCTCTCACCCGTGTTGAAATAGTAGCCCTTGTTTTCCAGGCCCAGAGTCCACAAGCCCTGCGGGTCCTCGTCCCAGAAGTGGGTGGACATGAAGATCCAGTTGTTGTAGCCTTGGCCGCTGACGTCCAAGGGTCTGGGACAGAAGGCGGGGGCGGGGGTGGAGCGGGCCCTGTGTTGGCTGCCGGGAGGGCTCCCACGGGGGGCGGCGTCTGGCCGGAGCAGACCCGCCCTGAGCCCACGGTGTGCGTTTGCCCCGGGCCCGGCCCTCCGCCCTGGTACCTGATGGCCACGAGCGTGGAGCGGGTGCCCATGGGGCTGGTGAGCGAGATCTCCAGGTCCCCGCGGCGGCTGTAGGACAGCGAGAGCCGCACCTGCACGTGCTCCAGCGAGCGGATGTAGCTGGCACGGCCAGCGCAGGCTGACACGTTCTTCCTCACTTGCATCAGCGGCAGGATGGGTCTAGGGGTGGCGTGGGGGTGAGGGCCCCTCCTGCGGGCCTGCTGGGGGATGGGCGGCCAGCAGGTGGGGTCTGGGCTCAGATCGCAGGGCGCACCCTCTTCTTTGAAGATGAGTAAGCAGAGGCCTCGGGACCAGCCTCCCGCGTGTTTGCCAGCCCCACCCCCCACGGTAATGACAGGTGTAGGGAGAGGACAGACGAGCACAGCGGGGGAGGGCGGGGGAGGAGGGCGCTCACGTGGCGGTGTGCACGATCCGGATGGCGCACTTCTGCTGGGGCCGCGTGGGCAGCCAGGTCCTAGCCGTGTCCACCAGCAGCCTGGCGTCCAGCAGCCCATAGCCGTAATGGTGACTCACTGCGCGGAAGGGCGGTCGGCACTCGCCCCACGGCGTGGCAGCCCCACCTCCAGCTGGCCCTGCCTCACCTTGGCGCCCCACGCCGTTGGTCCTCCAGTCCTCAGCCTGGAGCTGTGCCGGCCTGGACGCCCGGACCACCAGGTGCTGCATGTCCCTCCACGTCAAGAACGGGCTGCGGGCAGGCGAGGGCCGGTGAGCTGGGGCCACACTGGGGGCTGAGCGCGGTGAGCGGGCTCCCCTCCGTCACCTACTTGGCCTCCAGAGCCAGGGCGATCATGCCCGCGGCCAGCGGGGCCGAGGCCGAGGTGCCCGTGTGTTTGTCCGTGCACTGGTGGTGCAGGTCCGTGGTGACCTAGGGGCAGACAGGGGCACGTGGCGGGTCTGAACACACGAAAACCCAGACTTGGTTCAAGAAGGTACCGCAGAGATGCCCCCAGGAACAGGGGAACCGGCCCTGCCTGGAAGACAGGAGAATGTGTGAAGGGGTGTCGCGGGGCAGCCCTGGGAGGAGGGGAAGTGGGGAGCAGGAGGGAAGGTGGGGGGAGGGGACAGGTAGAAGGGGAGGAGGAGGGAGTGAATTAGGACGGGGGATGGGAGAGAAGGGGGCAGAAGGGAAAGTGAGGGATAAACAGGCGGGAAGGAACAGAGTACAGTCAGGGAGGGGACAAGTGAGAGGGGCAGGGAACAGGAGGGGAGAAGGCAGGGGAGAGTCGGGGAGGGGGCAGAGGGCAGTCAGGAAGGGGCAGGGGACAGTCAGGGAGGGGCAGGGG